GCGGAGCCGCGCCCACAACCGCAGCAGCGGCTTCGGCCTCGAAGCTCCTGACCTCATTCACGAACTTGATGGCCTGTTTCGTCGCCTCCGAGGGCCTGCCCGTCGCGGACTCGATCTCATCCCCGTACTTCTTCATGATGTCCAGCGCCTTGGAGTCCTTGGCGTTGAAGAGCGACAGTTTGAAGCCGTAGCAGTCCTCGCCGTTGTTGATGCGCTCTGCGCAGATGGAGCCTGCTGGGAGGTAGATCGCCTCCCAGGGGCCGACCGTTCCCCACCGCATCATGCGGCCAGAGTTCACGAAGTCCTGAGGGCCGAGAGCAGTGCCGCTCTATCCCATCTGCCTCCCTCTCCTAGCCGCGCTCACTCGGGACGGGGGGCGGGCGGGGGGCAAAGTGGCAGAAGCCATGGGGCCACCCCCCCGCCCGCTAGCTTCCCATCCTAAAAGAGCAGGGCTGCGAGAGGAGAGACGTGAGCAGGAAAGAGTCGCACTTAGTGAAGGAGAGAAGCGGAGGGGTCGGAGGCGAGGAAAGCAGGAAAGAGGGATCTACGACTCAGGAGGCTTCCAGAAGGCCCTGGGGCCCTGATGTCCAGTCCTCGACGTCTGCTGCAATTGCAGACTTGATGAACTCGATGGACATTTTCGTCGTGACGTCGCTCTGCCCCTTCGTCTCCACCAGGAACGAGATGACCTCGTCAACCCTGCACGCAACGATGGTTCGCGTGCCACCCACTTGCCCCCGCAAGGTGGGTAAAGCTGAGGGCTCGACCCGGCAGTCCTGCACGCCCGCTGCGATGGCAAAGCACCCGAGGCCCGCGACATTGTAGAGCTGGCGGTTCTCCGCAGCCTTCGGCGCGGGCACGTTCCGGAAGCCGGCTTTGTCCAACTGGCAGTAGTTGAGGAACCAATCCATCACGACGGTTTCGCACTCCTCGTCTGGCAAAGGGCTGACGGCCCTGCCTATCGTAAGCCTCAGGTCCGAGGCGCGGAACTCCTCCTTGAAGCCCTCAATCTCCTCAGATAAAGTCGCCGTGCCCTTATTCAAAGAAGTCGCACTCTCCTCCCAACGATCCTGCTCCTCCTGGTTGTCGAACTGCATCTCGCTCCGCTCGCGGCCCACCCGAGACTCCACGTGGGCAGGCGACACGTGGAAGGGCAACAGCAATGGCTTTTCAGGGTCAATGCTATCACAAGGGCTGGTGCCGAGGTCGCCGTCGTGCTTCGTTGCGAACGCGACCAGGGCATCGATGGGGATGTTCGGTATGGAGAACATGTCACGGCCTCCAGGCAGGTCGACGTCGAAGATGGGATAGGTCTGAATCTGAGACTGTTTTGCCTTCTTGGTCGCTGGCCCGTTTCCAGCGCCGCTCGCAGCATTCGCCTCTTTCTGCCGCTTCTTGCGCGCCTCCTCAGCCGCCTTCGCTTCTAACGTGCGTCTCTTGTGGAGCATAGTGCGGGCAGAGTACAAGTCGCTCACGCCAGTGGAACAGAACTTGAGCAAGTTCGGGATGGCCGAGTATTGATCGGAGATCTCAGTCTTGCGGGATTTCACGTCCTCGTCCGACTGGCAATCGTTGAAGTCGACCTTCCCTTTGGCCTGGGCGATGGTGATCAGATCCTTGTACCGAGGACATGGCCCAGCAGAGTTGATCGGATTCGTGTCGTGGGAAGATCGGATAGAGCTGCGGCCCAAGGACTCGCTGGCAATCCGGTCTGCTGCGCCAGCAGCAGTCTCCACGTTCGCGATGTACCTGGGAAGCGGGCAAAGCAAAGGCCGAAACAACTCTCACAGAGATTACATCCAGCATCCAGCATCCCTCTAGCCGATCCTGGTCTCCTTTCCTCCTAACCTCTGCCTCCCTCTCCTCCGACTTCCGATGCCTCCTCCACCTCCGCTCCCCTTTTCGGACGGGCACGTCCTGAGCTTGGAGGGGTCCAGGCTGAGCACGTGGCCCAGCGCTTCGAGGCGGTTCTTCACAGTCTTGATCTCGCTCGAGAACTTGTCTTTGTCGGGGTCTTTGGCGAAGTCCTCCAGCGCTGCCTCCATGTCCTTCATACGGCTAGCAGCAGTTGTCTCGAGCTTCCCCACATCCCACAGGCAGTCCCGGTTAGCCTTGTTGATCTTCTGAGGCCCAGTGCCGTTGAGCCACTCCTCTGCGGAAACCTTCTTCGGGGTTATGCCTTTGCCCTGGTTGGACTCGTCGGCCTTCGAAGTTCGATTCGAAGTCTTCTCCTCGTCACTGCAGTCCTCGGTATCATCATGTGCGGCGGCCTTCTTCTTCCCCTTGACCTGGTCATGAAGATTCTGTAGAGATGGTGCCATCATACCTTCGGCCCCAAGTGCGGTTACAGTTCCAGATGATGAGGACGCTGACGTCATCATTGCCTTCAAGGCTTTGGACTTCTCGTCCTGGCCGAAGTTGAGGAGGTTGTCTTCCACGTCCATGCCGCCAGTCGCTTGGTTCATCAAGCTCTTCGCCGTGGCTTCGTCACACTTCTTGATCGCCTTCCCAGAAGCCTCGACCGATTTCTTCTTGCCCATCGCCTCCTTGTCACTGATGTACTTGCCCTTCTTGACCAAACACTGCGTGTAGCCTCGAGGCCCGTCTTCGTCTTTGGGGTGATCCGGATCTTCCATCCACTTCTTCCATTGTGCCTCGTACTCGTCTTTGGTCAGAAACCCTCCCTCTGCACTCTGGGCAAATTCGCGGTACTCACCTTCCCACATCATTTTGCCCATTTTGTTCGACTCGACCTCTGCCCTGGTATACATCTCCTCCTTGTACTGGACAAGGTTAAACTCCCTTCGGCCCTGGGCGTTCGGGACCACCTTCATGACAACCTTCTTGAGCTTCGCGTACTCGGCCGGCTTCTTGTTCTTCAAATCCTTCAACCAGGAAGTGAGACCTTGCCTCTCAGCCATTCCCATCATTTGACGGTCCTCTTTGCGGCAAACCTTGCAGTCGTTCTGACTCTCGTAGAACTCCTTGATGCTCTTCTCTTTCTTGCACGACCCGCAAGCCTTGGTCTTGCCACCGTCCTCGCCGTCAGCGTCACCCTGGCCAGCGTCATCATCGTCACCGTTCCTCGACACCTTTGACTTACGTCGCCCCTCCCCCTTGCCGCCCTTACGGCCGCCCTTGCCTCGGCCGCCGCCCCCGGCTTCATCATGCCCAACGCCATGCCCGTCCCCAGCCGCTCCTGGCTCGTGGGGGACCTCAGCAGGCGCATCATCAGGCAAATCAGAGTTCTCGAGGAAGAGCTTTGGCCTTGACGCGCGAGGCAGGCGGCCGACACCTGCCGAGCTTTTCGGCCGCGGTTGCACAAATGAGGGCGCTTGCCCCTCCATCGAGGCGTCGAGGAGCCGCGGGGAGGCGTGGCCAGGTGCCAACGTGCTCCGAACCTCAGCTGCCAGAGGGCAGCCGCTAAGCCAAACGACGGCTACGTATCTTGGATGATGATGCCGATGATGATGATGATGATGGTGATCGTGAGCTGTAAGGTGATGGCGGCGATGGTCATGATGATGACGATGTTAATGGGATGGAGGGTGGTGGGGGTCCCAGGTCTTGACTAACACCTGCATTGAAGCCTAGGCGTGCGTGACAGAAGCCAATTGACGCCAACAATCCTGGGCGCATCCTGGGCATGATACCTAGATGAGGGCTTACAGTTTAGACTGGTTGGATAGGGCATCCGAGAGACACGAGACTCCGAGGGCACCGTGGCCGGCAAGATCCAGCGGGCTAATCTGGGGAACAAGGCGGGGTTGACAGGGCGCGAGTCGCGAGGTTACGTTTTATTCTAACAGGGTCGACATACCAATCGGGGCCCATGCCATTAGCTATGGTTGGGTCTTTACTTTTCAGAAGCGGAAGCTGCGAAACTAAACTTCAAGTGAGCTGCGGCTTACTGGGCCCTCTCAGTGAATGCCAAGAGGAAACAAACGCATGCTCCAACCGCTGCTACGTGCATTGAATTCCCTCCCATACTCCTTAACTGACGCGGTCGAAATTCATCTCTGAGCACGGCTTCTTTGAAGGGACATTGGTATGAAGCATCTGCACTACTGAACAAAGCCATGCCTTGCGCTTCTACTGCTTCCTCTGGCAACTGTTCGCGGGACAAGCTCATGGACCACAAATTCGAACGCTGCATCAAAGCGGGGACGTAGCGCGGGGTTCCGCCAAACCAGTGGGCATTCTGGGACAAATTACAAAGATACGGGGTCCGATGAGGCAGAAGGCCCCGCTTGCGAATTGCAGACTCATATGACTCGAGGCGAAACCGCTTCCCTACTCCGAGCAGCTGCCGATTGTGCCACTGTAAGCCACCTGCCCGAGTTGCTGGCAGTCCGCGCTCCAGCGCTAAGGTTGCCAAGAATGCGTTTACTTTGCTGTGCGGCGCCCGAAAATACACTTGGCCTAAACAGGCGGGCGTTGCGCCGAACAATTCCAGGAATGATGCAGCGGGGTCTTCCTCGACCTTTGGAATCCATCGCAGAGATGAGCGTTTCAAAATGATCATGTACTTGCGAATCCTAGAGACTGGGATGCCCAACTGGTGTGGGCTAACAACAATTGGATAAACATCGTGAGTTGTTCCAACTATTGCCGCTAATGTATGATGGTCAAATCCAATCGTGCACTCGCAAATTGCCCAATCAGGGGAAGAAATCAAAAAGTCCCGCGCCCACTGCATGAAGCAACATGCACTGCTCCCGCTCCAACCTTTTTTCAATCCAATGAAAGACACTGTGGTGCACGAGAAACCAGCGAAATGCCCAATCAAATGCGAACCTGACGAAGGATGCACCCTGCAATCGCACTTATGCCTATAGCAGTATGCCTTGTACTGGTTCAGCTGGATGGCGCCGACGTCCGCCAGCATGAACTGTTTCACCTGGGAGGGCGGGGCACGGGGCACGTGGCTCGAACAGACACGCATGCCACGCATCATGTTTGAGTTTGTTGCAAAGGAAGGATCAAGCAAGGGAGGATGAATTCTATTAGGGAGGGCATCAGACATCACGACACCACTAGGGGAACAATGAAAGGTGACAACGCGTCACCTCTTCGATCAAAGCCGTACCGACTTCATTGTACACGTCCTTGGCCAGTTCGCCAGACTTGGTCCTCTCGGCAGCCTCTGATGACGATCGGTCCGCGGCCTCCGTCATCCTCCTCAGCAGCTCGGGCGGCGTGCGGTCTAACATGTCCCCCATGACGCACGCTGGGGCGCTGCCCGGGCAGTGAGCAAGGAGCGCCTTCCTGCAATGAGCCTCGATGTCACAGGCTCGTTCGCACGAAATCCGGCCTGGGTGAACCTCTGGCTTGAAACGTCGCAGCCCCTTCAGTAAGTGATGCACTGCTGTGGGGCCTGATCCCCACCCAGCATAATCCTCTGTATACAAAAAACCCTGCGCCACTTTCTCTGAAAGCAACTCGAGCGCCCGCCCCGGAAGACGATGCAAGAACTTGTCTGGCCAGCGGAAGGTCTCTTCAACGCAGGACGCCCCGGGCCTTTGCCAGCTGGCCACTGGATCATTGCAGCAACTGGTTGGCCCTACGCCCAAGGTGATCCCGATATCCCCATCGGGTCGTAAACTTTTGCGCTTCATCGGTGGGGTGTGAAAGCGCCACTTGAGCCAGAACAACCATTGTGACGCAGCTCTTCACGGGGTTGGGGCCCATTGCGGCCATTGCGTGGGAGGGGGCGCCGGGCGCAAATATCACGTGGGCGTCGCCTCTGGGCAATGGATGTTTCAAGGATGTTTGTGCTGGGTTTTGTGCTGGCGTCAAATTTTCTCTCTTGTTTGCGACGCCGTATCGCGCAGCTTTGCGCGCGTGATGAAATTGTTGTGAGTTGTTTTGCTGGCGTTGTCTCCAGACAAAGGGTAGCACCTGTAGCATGTACCAACATATTGAACTGAAACAGGCTACAACGCTGGGGTCTGTGCACGATTGGTTTAGGGTGTTTAGGGTTTAGGGTGTTTAGGGCTTAGGGTGATTAGGTTTAGGGTGCTTAAGGGTTTAGGGTGTTTAGGGTTTAGGGTGTTTAGGGTTTAGGGTGTGTAGGGTTTAGGGTGTTTGAGGTTTAGGGTGCTTAGGAGCAGATCCGCTGCACTTAAGGGCCCCTTAAGTGCAGCGGGCTGTCTTGGCCTCCGGGAGCCCCCCCCCCCCCAAAGGAGGAGCAGACCCGCTGCTGCACTTAAGGGCCCCTTAAGTGCAGCGGGCTGTCTTGGCCTCCGGGAGCCCCCCCGAAAGAGGAGCAGATCCGCTGCACTCAAGGGCCCCTTAAGTGCAGCGGGCTGTCTTGGCCTCCGGGAGCCCCCCCGAAGGAGGAGCAGATCCGCTGCACTTAAGAGCCCCTGAAGCACAGCGGGCTGCCTTGGCCTCCGGGAGCCCCCCCGAAGGAGGAGCAGATCCGCTGCACTTAAGGGCCCCTTAAGTGCAGCGGGCTGTCTTGGCCTCCGGGAGCCCCTCCGAAGGAGGAGCAGATCCGCTGCACTTAAGGGCCCCTTAAGTGCAGCGGGCTGTCTTGGCCTCCGGCAGCCCCCTAAACCCTAAACCCCAAACCCTAAACCCTAAACCCTAAACCCTAAACCCTAAACCCTAAACCCTAAACCCTAAACCCTAAACCCTAAACCCTAAACCCTAAACCCTAAACCCTAAACCCTAAACCCTAAACCCTAAACCCTAAACCCTAAACCCTAAACCCTAAACCCTAAACCCTAAACCCTAAACCCTAAACCCTAAACCCTAAACCCTAAACCCTAAACCCTAAACCCTAAACCCTAAACCCTAAACCCTAAACCCTAAACCCTAAACCCCAAACCCTAGACCCTAAACCCTAAACCCTAGGGTGTTGAGGGTTTAGGGCGTTTAGGGTTTAGGGTGTTTAGGGTTTAGGGTGTTTAGGGTTTAGGGTGTTTGGGGTTTAGGGCGGTTAGGGTTTAGGGTGGTGCAAGTATAGGGCGTTTAGGGTTTAGGGTGTATAGGGTTTAGGGTGTTTAGGGTTTAGGGTGTTTCGGGTTTAGGGTGGTTAGGGTGTAGGGTGGTTAGGGTTTAGGGTGGTTAGTTTTTTAGGGTGGTTCAAGTTTATGGTGTTTAGGGTTTATGGTGCTTAGGGTTTAGGGTGGTTAGGGTTTCTGGTGTTTAGGTTTTAGGGTGCTTAGGGTTTCGGTTGTGTGGGGTTCACTGTGTTTAGGGTTTAGGGTGTTTCGTGTTGATGGTGTTTAGGGCTTATGGTGTTTAGGGTGTGCAGTGTGTAGGGTTTAGGGTGTTTAGGGTTTAGGGTGTTTAGGGTTTATGGTGTTTAGGGCTTCGGGTGCTTAGGGTTTAGGGTGCTTAGGGTTTAGGGTGTTTACGGTTCAGGGTGTTTAGGGTTTAGGGTGTTTATGGCTTATGATGTTTAAGGTTTAGTGTGTGTAGGGTTTATGGTGGTTAGGGCTTATGGTGTTTCGGGTGTAGGGTGTTTAGGGTTTAGGGTGTTTAGTGTTTATGATGTTTATGGTTTAGGGTGTATATGTTTTAAGGTGTTTAGTGTTAGGATGTTTATGACTTATGGTGTTTAGGGTTCAGGGTGTTTAGGGTTTAGGGTGGTTAAGGTTTATGGTGTTTGGGGTTTAGGGTGTTTAGGGTTTATGGTGTTTAGGGTTTCGGGTGTTTAGGGTTAATGGTGCTTAGGGTTCAGGGTGTAAGGTTCAGGGTGATTACGGTTTAGGGTGTTTAGGGTTTATGATGTTTAGGGCTTTGGGTGATTAGGGTTTATGGTGTTTGTGGTCTAGTGCTTCGGGTTTAGGGTGGTTAGGGTTTAGGGTGAGGAAGGTGTAGGGTGCTTAGGGTTTGGGGTGTTTAGGGCTTAGGCTGTTAGGGTTTAGGGTGTTTAAGGTTGAGGGTTGTTAAGGCTTTTGGGGTGGTTAGGGTTTAGTGTGTTCAGGGTCTAGGGTGGTTAGGGTTTAGGGTGGTTCGTGTTTAGGGTGCTGAGGGTTTAGGGTGTGCATGGTTGAGGGTGGTCATGGTTTAGGGTGTTTAGGGTTTAGGGTGTTTAGGGTTTAGGGTGTTTAAGGTTTCGGGTGTTTAGGGTTTCTGGTGCTTACGGTGTGGGGTGCTTAGGGTTTAGGGTGTTTAGGGCTGCGAGTGTCTAGGGTGTATGGTGTTCAGGGTTTAAGGTGTTTAGTGTTTAGGGTGGTTAGGGTTTAGGGTGCTTAGGGTTTAGGGTGATTAGGGCGTTTAGGGTTTATGGTGTTTAGGGTTTAGGGTGTTTA